AGATTATCACCTTCAGTTGTTTGAATGCGCAAAACGTTTTCGATTAGTTGTTTGCTATTCACATGTTTTCAATACTTTCGCTGTAAGGCACCGGTTAATGTGCTGCAGAAGTAAATATTCCAGATTATTCTACTAAGGCAGATTTTCCTTTACTCTTTTCATCCATTCTGGACGACGTCTGCCGCATTTCGTCTACCATAAATATGCTCGCGGGCTGGAGTACATGCTTGTGTTCAACCGGGTTTGACGAAGAGGTCCAACCTTCTTCACCTAATCTCCACCCACGCTGGGAAAAATCCATTACATCGTCCTTCCAATTAACCGCCTTAATACGCCGACGTCAACGTTGCTGTACGCAGTTCGGCCATTGTTCTTGTTCCTCGTTCGGACAACTGCCTTTACGCCCTGAGACAACACTGACCTGACAGAAGCAGGGTACAGGTGGATTTTAGTTGGAAATATGATTGCTGCCGTACCAGCATTGCACAGATTAATAATACATTGGCACTAGAGGCTTGAGCACTCCCACCATTACCTCTGATTAGATGGCGCCGTCGCTGGAGATGATACAGCGACATACTTAAATTGCTTAACCTCATGAAACATTTTACTCCCATGCTCCCCTTGTACATCAGAGAGGCGAATGGGTTGCTCATAACTTTTGACTTTTGGACGTTATGGAAGAGGGCCGCTTTCGCAGCTGTGTCGTATCCCAAAGGCGTCAAGTGATACAGTCAGCTTCCCGTTTTACTAACCAGGACAATATCTACTGCGTATTCGAGATCAGCAACATATAGAGCCGAATATCCTGAACTGCACTTTCTCTCTAGAATGACATCTTTGTCTTTGCAAGGGACAGCACTGTTCTGAAGAAGAAAGTTGAGAATAACGTTGAATAATAAAGTCGAAAGCGCATCCACAAGACGAATTCCACAGTGAAGAGGGAACTACTCAGCTCTCCTTCGAGTTTAACAGGAATTTATCTCTTTCGAAATGGAAAAAAACATCAATAGTTTTAGTGAAGCAATTTTAAAATTTACCGCTCTTACTGACGACCATTCAATTCTGACATCGCGTCGGTAGCCAAAAAAACAGTTTAATTATGAAAGTAGCTAAAAAATAATAATGACTGAAATCAGAGGCTAGATGGCTCAATGAATCTCTTTTTGCTATATACCTTGGCAGCCTGTTGCTTGCATATATTTGATAATCATAAAATTAAGGCGCATCCGTTGCAACTCTAATCGACTGATTATTTTTCCGAAGGTTACGTAAAACGGAGCAGGATTACGAGAGCAGCTATCATGTGCTACAATCTGGCGGAAACCTGGTGGTGAACCAAAACGCTGAAGCGCCTCCCCGAGCGTTGTTTCCAATCAGGACAATCAGGAGTGTGTCCAGTTTTGTACAAAAAGAAAAAATGGCTCGCCAATTTTCTCCGCAATTCAGGAAAAGCAAGCAAAGGAAAGAAACAGGTTCACAAAGTAGCTTTTTGAATCGGTATTAACTGTATACTTTTGAATGAAACCATTTAAGAAACGAGGGAACTGCCGTCGGAAAACTGCGACCTGCTAATGCCAGAAGATGTCGCTCCAGCATATAAGCTGGCGTTCAGGTTTATCTATCTGGTAAAGTTTCTGTCTGCACGGAGAAAGTTTAAACAAGCGCTGAAACCGTACGATGTTAAGGACGTCATAGAGCAATACGCAGCTGGTCACGTAGAAATGCTAGCTCGGATTAAAGTTTTGCATCAGAGGTAGCGTTTTATGTATATCAAATCTAGTAAAAGTTTTGAACAGGCTAAAAATACAGTTTTATCAAGTTAAATAGAATTTTAAGCGAAAAATTTTATTTCAGAAATGAAAAGTTTCAGTACCATCCAATTACTCTAAGCTGATGGCAGGTGCTGCGTCAGAGCACACCTCGCTAAGTCGAAGCCTTTCAAAGTTGGCGCTGGTCTTCGCCAAAGCTGCGTCCTACCCCTCTCCTGTCTGCATTGTACATGAACAGAAGAGTCAGGCGCAGCCAAGGCGATGAGTATATCGGTGTAGGAGATGTGAAGATGAGAAGGTTGCCGTTTGCAGATGACCTTGTTTTATTGGCATCTTCTGAAACTGATCTACAGTGTTTCCTGGAAAGGTTGCAGTCAAGTGCGATATGAACGGCATGCATGTGAACGCATCTGTCCAGTGCTTTCTCGTCCCCCCTGCATGTTGCTCTCTTCAGATTAACGGAGAGGCAGTGGAGCAGGTGGAGAAGTTCAAGTACCTCAGAGTCGCGTTCAATAATGATGGAAAATTTGAGGAAGAGATCGGTCGGCGAATTTGAGCAGTCAGTGGCATTCTGCGTGAACTAGTCCGAGCCGTTGTGACAAAATCGGAACTGAGTTTGAGGGCTAATGTGTCGGTGTTGAAGTCGATCTTCATCCACATGCTCATATACAGTGATTAGTCATGGACCATAACAGCAACAGTCCGATCCCCTGTACGAACGGATGAAATGGGCTTGTTGAGATAAATCGCTAGGCTCACGCGTCTGAACACGGTCTGAGTTCAGATATGCGAAAGAGGGCTTTGTTGTACAGCAGATGCTTCTCCAAATTGAGAAGTTATAGCTGCGATGGTTTGGACACGTGTTGCGAATGATTTCAGAAAAAAAGGCCAAGCCTCTTCTACGTGCCGAACCGGCTCGAGCGAATCCCCGGGAGGGCCAAGAATGACCTGGGGCAAGAGTACGACCTACTGCAGACTCGGGATGTCTCATGCCGAAGCTGTTTAAACGCTAGCACAGGATCGGTAATTCTGGAGACAATGTCTTATGCGTCTCCCAGCAGGACCTGAAAGGGCAAGCGATCATAGAAAGTTACTGATTCTTTTGTATATTGTGGATTAGAGTCCGACTGGCATCACAGCGCAATGACCTCCAAATGATAGCACTGCAGGG